TACCGCTAAGCGATTGTTGATTCGTCTTTCATTAGAGGAAGGATCTGATTAGATGAGCTATAGATTTCATTAGCACTCGAGAAAATTTTCATCTTTAGTCTCCTGAAACCTAAAATATCTGATACTTGCCTATGTTCTCATAATCGGAACATTCAGGCTTATTGGGGCTATGTGGTAGCAGCCACCACGTTCATTACAGCAGCACTTGTTGCGTTGCTCATTGGTGCAATTTATATCGCAAGGTACACTATCGCTTCACATCTGCCCAACTCAGTATTTGTCAAGCGTTTGACTTTTCTTGAATACCGTACGAAATTTTCAACGTTAACGATTCGCCTTATTCAATTTATGCGTTTAGCAAGGTCGACGAACACCACCATTAAATTGCATCAGCTATCTTGCTCAGCATATAGCTAATCGTTTCCGCAACCAATGATAGGGTTTGCAGAGAACGAAGAAAAGAAGCTGAACGTGAGAATGCAATGTGGCAAATTCCATTTTGTAAACTCGGAAATCCTAACGACGTGAGTTGCTTAGAAACTCACTGTTCTTCGAGTCACTATTTTGAATTATGCTTTATGGATCACTGTTCTAAAGCCTTACAAATACTCACGTTGCTAGAACTAATTTATGAATTTTTGGATGAAAATCGTTCCGAGGATTGAAATCATCTGAATTATGAGCGTTGTATGGATATTCATGTTGCAGTAGGAACAAAACTTTTTGCTGCCTCCTTTTGTCGTAACGAGTGGTAATATGAAACAGTGAATTGGAACCTTTATCTTGGTGAATTTCAGCGTGACCATTCAAAATCCGAACGATCTCTCGAGAGCTCTAGCAAGAATTCGAGACTGGATTCCGTACATTCGGCCTGTCATAGCTTAGATGGCGAACTGGTTTGGGCGGAGAAGTTCGATTCCCGTATTCCACTGAGTAAAGAAAATTATGCCGAACTTCGAATGGTATTTCCCACATTTAGAGCTTTAGTGTATCATTCGTTGGCTGAAACATTGGAGAACACGAAGAATTTTCGAAATAATTAGCCCATCTGATTAGCAGATGTCATATTACTACTTGCCAGATGCGAGCAATGGAACATGACAATTTGAATCGATTCATTGGACTTGTCCTGGACGCCCCTTCGTATATGGTTCTGTGGCGAGCCTGTAGCCGAGGTTCATTACAGGTTTGTTCGATGA